ACATTTTAGTTTTAGTTTTAGTTTCAAGTTTTTAATAGCTAAATCTTTAGTTCTAGTTTTAGTTCCAGTGCTTTAATTTGTCAAATTCTAGTTTTAGTTCTAGTTTTGGTTTTTTGTATCAATGTAGTTCAGTTCTAGTTCTAGTTCTTGGAACTAGAACTAGGAAAAAAATAGGTGTACTAAAATAGATTTAGTTCTAGTTCCGTTGGAACTAGCACAACACTAATATAGAAGAAGGCTCAACTCCCAAGAATTGCTGGTTATAAACGCTTATCATATAAACAAATAAAAAACATCTACTTCATTTAAATAAGGAGATCAAAAATGGATCTTTATAAGAAATAAATGCATATAGGTGTTTTGAAAATACAGCAATGTATGGTATTTGCATATTAAAATATTCTATTTAATTTTTTGTTATACAAAATGTATATGTAGCAATAATTACTCACATGAGTTGTAATATTTTGATGAGGTTCTTCAGACAATAATTGTACAATGTTATCATATCCTTTTCTTGCTGCTACAGCTAGAGCAGTTTCTCTTGACTATAAAAAATATGGTTAAAAAATTATATACATGTATGACCTTTGAATAGAATTGATGCCTTAAAATTAGGATTTATGCTAGGTCTCAAAAGCTTATGCATGCCTGATGCTATCACACAACAGAGCACATAAAACTTACCTTACATACCGTATGGTTGGTAAATTTCGTGGGGCACTAATTTTCGTTAATTTCGTGGTTTATTTTTATCCACGAAATTTTAACCCCTACCCACCCACACATAAAAGCTAATTAACGGGCCATGCAGAGTTCTAACTACTATTTTCAAGCCAGTAGAAGAGCCAGAGTTCTTGTCTGTTACTCCATATTCCACCATAAGCCATGTGTTGGAAGCTAGTCCAGTAGATCCAAGTGAATGTCAGATATTCATAGATTATTAATTATTGTGTGATGTCATTTCCGTTTGGTATTGTGTGTATATAAACTCATTTTTTGTAATTATTGTTTAGTCGGCAATAGTCGCTCACTAATTCTCACTTTGGTTTGTGTATCTCTCTCTCTTTTCTTTGATTGGTTTTTCAAAACATATCTTTTGGTCCACTATATTGGTGTGAGCAGATTGCGCGCAGATTAGCAGTCCGTCATCGTCAGGGAGATCGAGAGCTGTTGTTACGGTAAAGCACGACTGATCTGGCATTTCGACTGACGGTTACTCATTCCGAGAGAAGAGGCATTTACTTTATAGGATCTCGCGAGGAACTCTACCACACATTCTTCTGGTCCACCAAGCCGGATTCAAGGTATACTAGTTATTTAAGTATCGAACAGAGAGCTCTTCTGTGATTATATATGGTGTTTGTTTGAGCCTCAGTCTGTGCACATTTATTATTATACTATATATGCTTTTGTTGGGAGTCTGAGGGTGAGATATTATTTTGTTTAATTTTTTTTTGTAATATTTTGTGTTTGTGTATGTGTTATTGGTGGAGAAGCGGCGCTTACACGTGTTTTAAACAAAGACGTCCTTATCAATTATCAGTGACCTTTGTGGTTGACTTGTAATAACTTGCTGACCTTTGCAAAAATCATTTCTATAATTGTGTAAACATGACTACTGTTGATCCTGCACAACTGAAGAGGACTAGAACTGGCCACAGGGGAGTAGCCACCAGAAGGATAGGAGAGGTTGAGGCCATTTTAGCATCTCCAGATCCAGGCAAGATTAGGCTAGTCCAGCTCAGACTTGGAATTAGGGAGACACTTGACAGTCTCAGACAACTGGAAAAGGATCTTCTACCGCACATACCTGAGGATGAGGTGACTAATGAAATTGAACGGAACGAGAAGGTAAAGGACGAGATATTTGCTGCGTTAGCCAAAATTGAGTCATTGCTTTCAGAGACTGCAGCTACTACTGCTCCAACATCACCAGCCGTGATAGCTCCTCCTCGTACGACAAGATTACCAAAACTCACTCTCAAGAGCTTTCACGGGAATCTCACTGGTTGGGGGGTATTTTGGGATGCTTACAAGGCGGCTGTTCATCTAAATACAAGTCTGTCTGATGCAGAGAAATTTGCATATCTCAATTCATTACTGGAGGGAAAGGCCAGAGAAGCTGTCGCGGGATTGTCCATTACAGACGCGAACTACACAGAAGCAGTAACTATACTGGAGAGCTGATTTGGAGATAAAGAAAAAATTATATCTGCACACATGAATGAGCTGATGAGTTTAGAGACTGTACACCTCGATCAGCACACACAGGACTTAAGGCGTTTATACGACAAGGTTGAGGCTAACATTAGAGGGTTAGATGCTTTAGGGGTGAAGCCTGAAGCATATGGAGCCTTATTCACGCCAATTTTGGTAAAGAAGTTGCCTGCTGAGTTGCGACTGAATCTTGCTCGAAGAGTTTCTTCATCTGAGTGGAACCTTACAAAGATCATGGAGATGCTTAAGGAGGAGTTAGAGGCTCGAGAGCGTGCTGTATTCGCACCTATAAGCCGAGGAAAGACTGCACCTACTCATAAAGGAAGAGCTTCTCATAGTGGAACGTATGCCAGTACTAATTCAGAGAGGCCCAGTTGTTGCTACTGTGGCCAAGAAGGTCACGCATCGACTAATTGTAAGAAGTTCACGTCAGTTGAAGATAGGAAACGTATTATAAGAGAATCTAATCGTTGTTTTAATTGCTTAAGAAAGGGTCATGTGGGTAGTACATGTTAATCTCTGTCTAAATGTAGAAATTGTGGGGGTAGGCACCATACAAGCATATGCTTTAAAACTAGAGAGCTTAAACCTTCCCATGCCAATAAAGAAAATCCTCATAGTAGCACTAGTACTCAGCCAAGCATGACAAGTCCCAGTCAATCACGGCCTCTAGATCCCAAAGCTGAATCCTATAATCCATCAACTGCATGTTATACAGGAGGTCGACAGCACATATTATTGCAAACTGCCACAGTGCATGCCTTTAACCTAGAAAAACCTGATTATAAATTAAGATTAAATGTACTTATGGATAGTGGCAGCCAAAGTTCCTACATTACAAAGAGGGCTTGCAAGGAATTGAGTCTGAGAAGGTTGGGAAGGAAGTCTATGTCAATTATGACCTTTGGTAATAAGAAAGAGAGACAAAAGAGATGTGATATTGTTAATATAGGAGTTGAAACTGTAGACAATGGGTGTGTTGAATTGAGATTGCTGTCTGTTGAGCATATTTGTGAACCTATTTCTAATAGTGGTATTGATTTAGACCAATACCCTTACTTGAAGCAATTGAATTTAGCCTTTGACTCTTTTAATGATGTACCCTTAGAAATTGATATTTTATTAGGTTCTGATCAATATTGGGGCATTATGACCGGGAAGGTAATTAGAGTACGGAATGGTCCCACAGCACTTGATACCCAGTTTGGTTGGGTTCTTTTGGGCCCGGTTATCTTAAAACAGCGTTCAGAGAATGAGATTGCACTAGTTACACATGTATTGAGAGTTGATAGTGTGCCAGAGTGTCGAGCATTGGATAGAACATTGAGAGAGTTTTGGAATATTGAAGCATTGGGAATATTAGAGAGAGAGGACATAGTCCAAACCCAGTTTGAACAGCATGTATCATTTGAGAACGGACGCTATGTAGTCTCATTGCCATGGAGAGACCATTGCTTATCCCTACCTACTAATTATAAACTCTGTGTACGTAGATTAAATGGTTTGTTAAGGCGATTACAAAGGACGCCTGAGCTTTTAGAGAAATACAATAGCATTATACAAGAGCAAATTAATTTGGGTATAGTGGTACCTGCATCACGCCGACACGTGATTGAATCTAGCACGAAACTCCACTATTTACCACATCACGCTGTGGTTAGGCACGATAAGACCACGACTAAAGTTAGGATTGTGTATGATGCGTCAGCGAAGTTGGAGGGACCATCCCTCAATGAGTGCCTTCACGTTGGTCCATCACTGAATCAGAAGATAATGGACATTTTGTTGCGCTTTAGATTGCATGCAGTAGCTATGATTGCGGATATTGAGAAAGCATTTTTAATGGTTCAAGTAGCTGAAGAAGACCAAGATGCATTGAGATTTTTGTGGGTTAGAGACATACATGAAGAGAAGCCTGAGATTATTGAGTTGAAGTTTACGCGGGTAGTGTTTGGGGTTACGCCTAGCCCTTATCTACTGAATGCTACCATCGCGGAGCACCTGAAGCGCAATGCACACACTTATCCTCACGTGACAGATCAGATTAAGAAATCTATTTATGTTGATGATATTGTAACTGGGGTGGAGAATGCAGAAGAAGCCTTTGAATTTTACAAGAAGTCCAAGCATATTTTTAAATTGGGGGGTTTTAATTTGAGAAAGTTTTTTAGCAGCAGTCTAGAAGTCCAGAACTTAATTGATAAAGCTGAGCAAGGAGTTGGAGAGTCTGACAATAATGATGTCTCATATACACATATCACATTGGGTGGTTCTGTTCCCATTAATAGAGGGGAGTGCAAGGTTTTAGGCTTAGTATGGCAGTTGGATAGAGATGAAATTGTCATTAGTATTGATCATATTCTTAATGAAGCATTGGCTAATCATCCCACAAAGAGGAGTGTAGTGAGCATTGTTAGTAAGGTCTATGATCCTGTTGGGTTTTTAGCTCCAGCCATTATTCCTCTAAAGATTTTCTTCCAAGAGTTATGTGTGTCAAAGATAGAATGGGATGAGCCACTGACTGATGATTTGGATGAGAAGTGGGCCAGACTGTTGGAGGGTCTGAGAACCAAGGAGCCTATTCGTATTGCGCGGCGTTACTCTCACAGTAACTCTACTAGTTACACGTTGCTTGGATTCTGTGATGCATCGCAGCGAGCTTACGCGGCTGTTGCGTATTTGTCAGATGCTAATGGTTCATGTAGTTTAATAGCATCAAAGACACGAGTAGCACCTTTATTGAAGCAAACTATTCCTCGATTGGAGCTCCTGGGAGCGGTGCTTCTAGCTAGACTGATGACTACTATCAAGGATGCTCTGGGAGATTCAATAAAGGACTGTATCTGTTTTACAGATTCTCAAGTTGCTTTACACTGGATCAAGGGTACAGAGAGAAGTTGGAAGCCATTTGTTCAAAATAGAGTTGCTGAAATAAGAGGAAAGGTGCCTACACATTGTTGGAGACATTGCAGGGGAAGAGATAACCCAGCTGATTTGCCATCACGGGGAACTACTCTGAGAGATCTACAGAAGAATGAGTTGTGGTTACATGGTCCAGATTGGTTTGATCCTGAATCCATTACAGCAGACACAGTTACTTCAGTTCCACCAGAGTGCCTGGAGGAACTACGAGCTAAGGATAAGATATCTGTGACTATGAGTGTAGCAGATAAGTCTGGAGTGGGATCTTTGATTGATATCAAGCGATTTAGCAGCTGCGAGCGGCTACTGCGAACCACGGCGTGCGTATTATCGTTTTTAGGTAAACTGAGAAGAAGACTGAATGATGATGATACTAGTTCTGGGATAGAAGAAACTGAGATTTACTCTCACTATACTAGGAAGGATCTGGAAGAAGCAGAGGTTCTGTGGCTGAAAGAAGCACAACGAGGTCTTATACGTGAAGAGTGGAAATTTCAATTTCAGTTGTATACAGATGGACAAGGTTTATGGAGATGTCGGGGTAGACTGGGAAACGCGGAGTTGTCATTTAACACTCGTCATCCTATACTGTTACCAAAGTCTCATGCATTTACAGAGTTGGTGGTGAGGAGAGCACATTTTCGTGTATTGCATTCAGGAGTGAAGGACACATTAACTGAGTTACGGAGCAGATTTTGGATACCTGGGGGACGGTCTCTTGTTCGGTACTTAATACATCGGTGTGTTATCTGTCGGAGATATAATACTTCATACTATCGTCCACCTCCACCACCACCACTACCTGCCTACAGAGTTCAAGGAGGTCTTGCATTTTCTTCTGTAGGAGTTGATTACGCTGGTCCTATGACCATCAAACATTATACACACACTTCACACAACATCAATTCACACACAAAGTCTGGGGCACAAAATGCATACACATCATGCGAGGGTAAGGCATGGGTGTGCCTCTTCACTTGTTGTGCATCACGGGCGGTTCATCTGGATGTAGTGATCGATCTAACTTCAAGGAGCTTCATTCGTTGTTTCAAGAGATTCATTTCTAGGAGGGGATTACCGGCACGAGTAATATCTGATAATGGTTCTATGTTCAAGGCATCAGCCAGGACACTTCAGGAGATATTTACTAATCAGGAAGTCAAGAGGTTCCTAACCAACCACAACATCAATTGGATATTCAATGTGGAACGCGTCCCTTGGTGGGGAGGCTTTTTTGAGCGCCTTATTCAGTCATTAAAGAGGTGTTTGAAGAAAATGATTGGAAGGGCTAGACTAACATACAAGGAGTTGGTGACTGAGGTAGCTGAGGTGGAACTTATCTTAAATTCACGACCCCTGACATACATGTCTGCAGATGACATGGATGAGCCTCTCACTCCATCACATCTAATCTGTGGCAGGAGGTTGCTGAGCTTACCAGATCACTTGTGTTATAACAACTCAGAAGATGAAGATTATCAACCTCAGCCCTCTACCATTTTTACTAAGAGAGTCAAGTATTTGAGCTCCATTCTGGATAGGTTTTGGACACGCTGGAGACAAGAGTACTTGCTGGAACTGAGAGAGTCTCATAGACGATTGGAGGGAAGACGTCCTGATCAAGTTAATGTAGGAGATGTGGTCATTATTTATGATGATATACCTCGTGGTCTTTGGAAGCTAGGAGTAATAGAGAAGACTATAATGGGTCGAGATCAAGAGATAAGGGGAGCTGTTGTTAGAGTTGGATCAGGTTCTCAACCATCATCATTTTTGAGAAGACCAATTCAAAGATTATATCCACTGGAATTGAGGTCAGTGGAAAGCAGTGTCAATGAACAGATCAGTCACTCAGAATACAGTGATAACACTCAAGCTGACCACTCAGCGGATAGTACTAATAATGTGGAAACTAATTCTGGTGGTCCTAGTGCTGAGGCTGAGAATGTAGAACCTGAATCAGGTAATACTACAGACATAGGCCGTACTACCATTCGTCCACGTCGCAAGGCTGCTACAGAAGCTCGAGACAGGATTGTTGCAAGATTACTCGAAGGATCAGATTGATGGTCTATGTTGAGGTAAATCTACCTTCTTCAAACTAATTTGTTATTATTTCTGTCATGTTGTACTCTATTATTGTTTGTTTGCAATTCTGATTAATTCCTTTGTGTATTGATGTGAGTTGTTAGTTTTCTTATTGAAGTATGATGTATGTATAGTTATTATTATTGTTTGTTATTGCTAGCATTAAAGTTATTGCTTATTACTGTTATTATTTTCTTAATTTTTGTGGATGTATTTTGTCTCTTAATATTAGTATTGTGTTGGACAGATTGTATCTATCCAACAGGTGGGGAGTGTGTCAGATATTCATAGATTATTAATTATTGTGTGATGTCATTTCCTGTTTTGGTATTGTGTGTATATAAACTCATTTTTGTAATTATTGTTTAGTCGGCAATAGTCGCTCACTAATTTGTGTATCTCTCTCTCTCTCTTTTCGTTGATTGGTTTTTCAAACATATCTTTGGTCCACTATATTGGCGTGAGCAGATTGCGCGCAGATTAGCAGTCCGTCATCGTCAGGGAGATCGAAAGCTGTTGTTACGGTAAAGCACGACTGATCTGGCATTTCGACTGACGGTTACTCATTCCGAGAGAAGAGGCATTTACTTTATAGGATCTCGCGGAGAACTCTACCCCACATTCTTCTGGTCCACCGAGCCGGATACAAGGTATACTAGTTATTTAAGTATCGATCGGAGAGCTCTTCTGTGATTATATACGGTGTTTGTTTGAGCCTCAGTCTGTGCACATTTATTATTATACTATATATGCTTTTGTTGGGAGTCTGAGGGTGAGAGATTATTTTGTTTAATTTTTTGTAATATTTTGTGTTTGTGTACGTGTTATTGCTGGAGAAGCGGCGCTTACACGTGTTTGAACAAAGACTTCCTTATCAATTATCAGTGACCTTTGTGGTTGACTTGTAATAACTTGCTGACCTTTGCAAAAATCATTTCTATAATTGTGTAAACATGACTACTGTTGATCCTGCACAACTGAAGAGGACTAGAACTGGCCACAGGGGAGTAGCCACCAGAAGGATAGGAGAGGTTGAGGCCATTTTAGCATCTCCGGACCCAGACAAGATTAGGCTAGTCCAGCTCAGACTTGGAATTAGGGAGACACTTGACAGTCTCAGACAACTGGAAAAGGATCTTCTACCGCACATACCTGAGGATGAGGTGACTAATGAAATTGAACGGAATGAGAAGGTAAAGGACGAGATATTTGCTGCGTTAGCCAAAATTGAGTCCTTGCTTTCAGAGACTGCAGCTACTACTGCTCCAACAT